CTTCTTTTTGAATATGCGGAACACAGCCATATTTTTTAACGCAAACAAGAGCAAAATTAGCAAAGAACATAAGTATGCGCTAAATGGTAGACGAAGTAAATAACTGTTTATGTCATCCGTTGGAAAGCGAGGATGGGCCTTTATCGATAGGAACCAAAGCAGGAATGAATGAATATCGTCTCAGTCCTGTGGAAACTATGCTATTAATGTTTTGATTTTTAACTTGTTGCATGAATACAATGGTTGTTACAGTCGAGTGAAACCGATGGCTTCTACTGGACGAAATGCCGGTACCCAGTCGCAAGCAAGCTTCTATGAATTGTTGTGCTAGTTTTTTGACTGGAAATTCAAAATCGAATCAATCTCAAATGCTATCAACTTGAGAACCTAACGATGATCGGTTTTGAGAAGTCTAGGGAAGAAGATCGCAGAGGCACAGGCGAAAACAGGGAAAATACACGATTTTGTGAAAAAATGCGCGGTGAATTTTGTAACCTCCACCTCCAGCGAGTAAGAGGGTACAAGCTCTTCGACGTTTTGTCAGCAATGAACTTCACATGGTCGAATCAAGTCAAATCTCAATAAATGGCTATGTCAAGGTGCTTCCTAGTGCTAATATGTTCAATTTCACTGTGATCAGTTTTAAAAGTGCCTTGCATAGGAATATGAGCTGATGATACTTGGCATTTTATTTGATTTTTTTATTTAATTTTTGATATTTTATTTGCATTTTTGTGAGCCGCAGCAACATATCGGGCGAAGTCTTGGCGAAGCTTGACAGGCAAATTTACGAGTGAGAAGAGAAGAAATGTTAATCGGAGTTATAGTGATTGTCGTCTGATATGCATAGTTAAATAGGTCATGTGGTTAAGTTGAATGGCAATGCAAAACGCAAAAACAGTTCTTTGAGGCATGCCTGCTTATGAAGAGGAATATGACTTTTGCCGTAGCAGTAAATTTGGCCGAATGTCAGTCAGTGATAGCATTTTTAAAGGTCAAATATCTGGGTTACTCTGATGTTTAAGCTATGTTGATCTCAGATGAAGCTGATAAAGAAACAATAATGTCTATTTTTTTGTTTTCCCTGGTTCACGACCAGGAAGAAGCCATCAGAACCTAACACCCGGTTGGTCAACTGTGGCAAGACTACGAAGAAACGGTCAAATCCTGGAAACTCATTAGTCCGTCACGATGACGAACGCTATAAGAAGTATCATATGCATGCACCGGATGCTGACTACGCAGCATGTGTCTACGTGTGTCTGTCTGTGTCCTTCTGAAAAAAATTTTTTGCCAGATAGACGCAGTCGAATGTCACGCAACTGAGAGACTGA